TAACCAGGTAGTTTTAGGACAGAGTCAAGTGAGTGTGTGCAAAGGCACAGGGATTAACCTTGAGGTGCAGGGCTGCAGCTACCCGGCCGGGATCACCTCTGGGTGTTGTGGGTCTGCCCTTTGTTTAGTTCTTCCAAGAGGAAATGGCATTGGTGGTTTGTCATGTTTTTACAAGTACTTGTAAATGATCAATGTAGTCTAGCATGACAGTCCGGTGGTTCTCTACAGCTCGTTCCTAAGTGTAGATTGAAGCTTTCTCTAAAGCAGCTTTTCTCCATCTGTTTCCTTCTCTAGTTATATGTAAAAAACGTGGGTACTCAAGCACTTCTATTTTTCATGTGGCCAAAATCTTTGAAGTATTTTTTTTTTTTTAGTAAGTGTGTGTTTGGATACTCTTATTGCATGTTCTTCTTAATCTATGTTTATATTACATATGTGTATAGTTCCATTAAACTATCAGACATCTACCCTACCATAATCAGTTTTTTAGTTTGAAATCCTGGTAGCACATCTTATACAGGATAAACAAAACCTTTAAGTTATTTAATGATAAACAATAATATTTAGTCTTACTTGTGGATGTTTAGAGAAGACCAAGGATTCTATAAATATGATTTACTGTGGGTGGGTACAATTTTTTTCAAGTGACTGTTTGATACGTGAATATACTATGTATGTTACAGAAAGGAATATTAACTTACTCTCTTCAGCAATCTAAAGTGTGAATGATAAGTAATGTTTGCAGTTTGTTGCCTTTAAACAGGCTTCACTTGTAGCACTGGCAGTGAAGGAGCAAAACTTCAAAATAAGGCCACAGTTTTAAAAGGTTATTATCAAAATTAAATCAGTATATTTCTGCCTTTTTTTTTTCTCCATGATGTACTATCCCACAACTATTTGCAGGGTTGTACTGTGAATCAGATCAACTCCCTGCGTCCATCTGTGGTGTAGACTCAGAGTTTGTTGGGTGTCATTACAATGACTGTTGTCTTCAGCATGGCGATGCGAGGAAGCAGTACTGGGCAGTTTATGTAGTTAAATTGCAGCCTCAGCAGGTCCAAAGATGTGATCATTCTGTTTTAGTTCCAGTTTTTAAAAGCAGAAAAATTTAGAACTCGACACAGTTTCTGACCTGTTTACCTGTCGGTGAAGTTCCTGTGGCTGTAAGACCAGATCATCGTGTGACTTTTCAGCTGAAATGTGGGTAATCATGGCCTAATATATAAAGTGGACAAGATCCTTTTGGGGAAAAAAATCCGCTTAGAAATCAAGGCTCTTGCATTAGACTTGTGTGTAAGTACGTTACGACTCTTGTTTACTTCAGTAAGATGACTGAAGTTGAGGGTTGTTCCCAAATGAAGTGTAGTGATGCTTTTTTTTTTTTTTTTTTAACTGAAGCTTTGAATTCTTGTGCTGAACAAGGTGAAGAATGTGCAGATATAAACAAGCTTCAGTAGATCACATCAGGAGTATATTAAAATATTTTTCTTCTGTTGTAGGAGAGGAATATGAAATTGTAGTGAGGGCAGTGGACTGAGACTTTGAGATCTACATTTAGGTATGAGTCATTGCCTTTGAGGCCTTGGGTGTGTTGATCTGCTGCTTGTCCTCAGGAAGTGTTCACCCTTTTTTGTACCTATGTTTATCTTTGTGCTGAGATTGTGTTTATGTATTCATTAGCATCTTGGAACCACAAACATTATTTGATGTGGATTTTTGTGGTACTGTGTGTTTTGGAGTAACACAAAGCATCAGGAGCAATATTTATGCTGGAACTGCCTGAAGGCCATACAGGCATGCTCTTGCTTTTCTGTATAACTTGTTGGGTTAATTTCTTGTGCTATTCATTTCAGGCTTTTTGGTGGTTTTGCTTATGGGGTGGGATGGGTGAGTGAGAATTGAGATTTCCTTGGACTGAGGCCTTTGATGTTAGCAGCACTGTATTTTAGGGTCATTTGGGCATACCTGCTTTTCTAAAAATACAACCAAAATGCTCTCATCCATTCTTTTAGAATGAGTCGTATCTTTAGGATTGGAGTAACAGTTCAAATAGAACTTTTAGAGTTTGGGATTGCTCTTTTCCATTTGAAAGTTTTAAAATGCCTTATATGTACCTTCTCCTTGATTCATAATCATCTGTTTTTCTTTTTTAAATCACTAAGCTGTAAATGAGAATGATAATAGGATATAATATTAGGGGCTAAGACACATAGCATCATTTTCCTAGTAGTTTTTTCTTCTGTTGCTTGCATTCCTGCTTCTCTTTGAGACTTGCTGTTCCTTACAGAACTACATGGAGTCCAAGTACACTTCCTCCTTAGTCCTCAGGTGGAGTGGGTGCCTGTGTGGAAAGTGTGTTGTGAGGGAAGTTACAGTGGAAGAGTTGGAACCACACTAGTTTGAGAGCAGAACGCTGGTTCCTGGTGGTTGTACCTGTTATAGTTTGGAAAAGTCATTTTTTTTTCAGTTAGGTATTTAACCAAGCTACCGTTCAACTGATTAGAACTGCTTCTTTGATCTTAGTTTCCTTAAAAATAAATTACATATTTTGAAAAGGAAATGCATGCTTGAAGCCAAAGAAGCAAGCCTGAAACTTCAGATGGTAACCACAGGTTCGGTTAGTTCTGAACCTAAAGATTTTTTGTTCTTGCCCAGACCACCAGCCATGGGTACAGGTGTTTGCATGGGCCCTAGCAAAAGGCCGTGCCCTTGTTGATGCACTTGGGGTGAAGGAGGGTCCTCTCCAATGGTGGCAGGAATAGTCTCTGCCAATGGTGACAGCGATATCCTGGCTGCTTGCACTGTTGTTACGAACAGGCATTAATTGCAGTGTGGCTCAGTTTTTCAGGGGGAGCCAAGTCAGATGGGCTTAAGGGTGCAGCCTACAGTTTTCTCTGCTGTGCGGGGTTTGTAATGGCTGCAGGGTGTCCTTGGAGGTGGTGGCACCTCACAGGCCTTCCCGCAGCCCAGCCTGCCACGTCCCTGGGTGCTCAGCCTGTGGAGGAACTGCTGCTGAAGCTGCTGGGTTGTGGGGTGGCTGTGGGTGCTCGGGGAAAAGCAGGATGTGCCCAAGGCAGGGCTGTGTTTCTGTTCTGCTCAAGGGGAGGCCAGCAACGTTCTTATGAAGTACAGGTGGACTTCAGGGTGCTGGGGCAGCTCCTAACTCTAAAGGGGCAGCTTGCCAGCATACACTTAAGAAAGCTAGCGAACTTCAGGCAAAGGATCTTCGTGCATTCTGAAATAATGATCTTACTGTATTTGCAGAAAAGTATTTTCTTTAGTGACAGTATTTTTTTCAAAAATATAAAACATGTAAAAGCTGAAGCCATGTATTTACTGTGATTTAGGTTAACTACTATCAAATTGTAGTAATTTGGAATTACTGCAATTAAGAACTTGGAATTACAGTGCTTTTTCTCCCATGTGGATAGAGACATCTGAAATTAGTATGTGTATGCATATATAATGACTAAGTTAACCCATCTCATAAATGTGTGTGTGTGTGTATAAACAATATATAGACTATATATATGTGTGTGTGTATATATATATATATATATATATATAAGTAGACGTAGTGACAAAACTGCTCATTCTTATTACCTTTCTCAGAACCTTGTCTAAAGATAGAATCACTTAGGTTGGAAATGTCCTTCAAGATCATCAAGTCCAAGCCATCAACCTGACCTACAGACTCCAGTCATTAAACCATGTCCCTTAGTGCCACATCCACATCTCTTAAATATCACTGGAGATGGGCACTTGACCACTTGGCAGCCTATTCCAATGCCTGACCACCTTCTCCATGGAGAAATTCTTCCATATGTCCAATCTCAACATTCCCTGGCACAGCTTGAGACCAGCATGGAATGGTTACATGAACTAGCGGGTATCAAAAAAAGCCAGATTTAAGCAAAATGAAGTTCAGGCCGTGACCCATGAAAAAATGGATAGATCAGTGTAACTGATTTCTAAAGAGAGTTGTGGATGCTAAAAACTTACGTAGATTTTAAGGGAGGCTGGGTAAGTTTACAAGAGATAAATTATTTGAGACTTACTATATATAGAAAATCACATCTGGCTTGGAAAGATCCTCAGGAGGAAAATGGGAGAGTATTTGGGATATATATGTTATCACTCTTCATACAGCATCTATTTGTAACTGTTGTTGGAGATCAGGTGGCTCGATGGAGATGGATCTCAAACTAACCCAGTATAGCTGCTCTCATGCACTTTCCTTATATCCTGTTGCTAAAGCTGATCTTGACTTCCTAATTCTTTTTCTAATCCTAGTTCAAGTGTGGAAATCAAACTTTTAGTACGCCAGTCTCAGAGGAATTAAAAAAATCATGACTTGCCCCCTCCTTTACAAAGTACTTAGAACTCCCTAACTCTTAGTTTATGCTTTCGCTTCCCCTAGCGAAAAACAGAAATGTGAGGCCACAGACACAAAATTGGAACATTGCTTACAGTTACGGGAAGGTCCACTGAAGATAAGGCTAGTGCAGAGGAATTGTACTTATAATTAAATGATGCCTTCCCAAGAAATGGGGAGACTTCAGCACAGGGAACCTATCCCTGATGTTCACCCTGCTCGTTGTATATCCATGTTTTATACTTTTACACATTATTTTCTGACAACATTCCTGGTCTTCTTAATATGATTTACTGGAATCAGAACACAAGTGACTGATCTTAGGAGAAAAAAGAAAAAAGCAGTTGAGCTTTGACAGTTTATAATATTTTTAATCAAATTTGTTATTGAAGCATGGCTTGCCCTTTGAGGGTCTGTCATCTTTCCTTCTATTTATATCCTAATTTTCTTTCCTTTTAAGTAAGTTAAACTGACCTCCCCTGTCAGTTCACTGATGGAAGTGGATGTTCCATGTAATGCAGTCTGTTTATTTTATCACTGTGGATGTGAAATTCCTGTTTGTTTCTATCATTCTGACTAATGCTTGACTATATTACAAAGAAAACTTTCTCTTTGTGTTCTCTAGGTACGTTTCTCATACATGCGGATGAAATATCTCTTCATCTCTTGGTTAGTAGTATTTATTGGCAGCTGGGTTATGTATGTCCAGTACTCTACCTACACAGAACTATGCAGAGGACATGACTGTAGGAAAATAATAGTAAGTGTACTTAGCATAGCTTGTTTCTGAAGTGTTTGTCTTGACTAATTCCACGGCCAGTTCAGTCACTGCCATGTGTAAATTAATCAAATGCTGCTATTCTATTGTGTTGAAATAATACTATATCTTCATTTACAGATAAAAACAGTTATTTGTTACTGTTGTTTTGATGTAGGGTTATTAAAATTTTCTGATTTCCCTTCCCCCCTTTTTTAAACTTCTTTCAAGGGTCAGGTGTTGGGAGAGATATGGTTGTTGCCTCGTTTCTTGGTCAATGTATTAAATACTTTTCTCCATGTTTGTTTCAGTGTGACAAATACAAGACTGGAGTTATTGATGGGTCAGCATGTAGCAGTCTTTGTGCGAAAGAAACACTATATTTTGGAAAATGTTTGTCAACAAAGCCCAATAAGCAGGTAAGGCTTTACTCATCTAACTTAGCTTTCTCATTTCCCATTGAAATCTCAGTGATTCTGTGTGCAGGCATTGCTCTAGTTTCCTTCTATTGATTTGAAGACACACAGGCTGTGTGTCTGAGAGGCTGAAGGGGCAGAGATTATAATGTAGCATTTCCCTTTTGCAGATTCTCTGCTAGAGGAGCTACATCACAATGATGAGCAATGCAGTTCTGCTCCTGTTATGCACTTTGTACTTTAACATGGCTATGCTTTATCGACTGGGAACTACTCTGCTGTGATCTGAGTGTGTCTGAACGTGGTGATAGTCTATGTGGTTCCTGCCTGTCCAGGTGCCTGCCCCTTTCCACTGTGTAGGCCCAAGATCCCGGGATTTGGATGAGCTGGCTAAAGCAGATAATTTTATTCAGAGGGAATTGCAGGTTTTGTTTTTTGTAGGGCATTAAGCTGTAGCAACTTTTCTGATCCAGCAGACAGTGCAGTTGTAGAAATGGCTGTGCTTGTATAGGTGAGAAGACACCGAGATACATTCAGAATCAAGAACCATCAGCCATAGCAGCGGCCTCTGGATAAGCTGCTGTAGGTGCCTAAATCTGCAATTTCAAGTCAAATCCCAAGTATAGGATAGATATGTTGGAGTTAGTTGTGCTGTTTCCCTGAATACACATCATGCATAAATTTCAGTGTTCCATTAATGCATTCAGCTGATTTTTTGATAACTGTGTTACATGGATCATTTGTGTCTAGCTGAAGAGTAAGCAAAGAAGTTTTTCTCTGACTAAATCCTCACTGCCCTGTAGTTTAAAAGAGCAGTAAGCCTGTAACTTCCATGAAGTCTTTAATTCCACAGTTACAGAATCTAGTTTCCAAGGAGATGATGAGATCCTTCCACATTTTGACAGTATGTCTACTAGAATATAGAGTCTTGCACAGCATACTATCTCTCTGCTATCCTGCTTCCCAAACAGAATCATCAGACTCTTAACCTAAGCAAAGATACAGAATCATAGAGTATCTGGGTTGGAAGGGACCCTCAAGGATCATTGAGTCCAACTCCTGGGTCCCCAAAGGACTACCCAAAACATCAAACCATGTGTCTGAGAGCACTGTCCAAATGCTTCTTGAACTCTAGATGCCAGTATACTGTTTATCAAGCTCTTTACATTTTGGCAGTGTAGTGTCTCCTAAGTCCCTGCAATAGTGTATTGTATGTGAAGCTGCCACTGTTTGAATGTACTGTGTGCACTGCCTGTGAGCAGGACTCAGTGTACTAATCTGTGCTGCTGCTTGACTTCTGAAGCAGCAGTTGGGGTTCAGATGATATTTAGATAGGACTTCCACGGTGTTTTTATCTCTTTACCTCTTTTCCTGCATAGATGTACTTAGGAATCTGGGGAAATCTGCAAGGAGTTATAAAATGCCAGATGGAAGAAGCTGCTCAGTTTGATTTTGGTACTGATCCAGAACCAAGGAAGGAAATAGTTCTATTCGATAAACCAACAAGAGGAACCACTGTTGAAAAATTCAAAGAAATGGTGTATGGTCTTTTTAAAGTAAGTATATGCCTGGTCATTTTATTGTGACATGATTATTTTTTATTGGCTTATTTTTCTGTAGCTGGAGAGAATGCCCTATTGTATGAGCCTTGTCCAAGTAAATGTTGGAAAAATAATCAGTACAAAAATAGTTTGTCCCAGAGGTGCTTATCTTTAAAGTTAGAAGTAACTAACAATTTTTTTCCTTACTTTTTAACAGGTGGAAGCTGGTATGCATCTTGCATGTCTACAGCTTTCATTGGTATAGAAAAAATATATCCATACTTCTGCTACTTTGAAACTTGTTGTAATAACCCCAGAGATGAGCACAATTTGAAAAGTGTTCATGTTTGGGAAGTTTGCATTAACTGAACTATATATTTTTTTCTGTTGCCTAATGCTACACCAGAATTTTATAATATGAAGTCATTATGTTGATACCGTGTCAACACTGATTTGGAGCTTTATGTCCTAAAATTCTCCTAAAATAGGAGCTATTGATATAGCTCCAATGTCTCCAGTGATAGAAATAAGGCTGTTCTAGTTGAGTGAGTGTATGTGTACAAATGTGCACACATATAATAAAGTTATGTAAAAGCTGATAATAGTTGCTAACACATTACAGTGGTTTTGTCTCTAGGATTGGATGTGCAGCAGGTTTTTAGAATAGGTTTTAGGAAAAATTAAGAAATGTCTGTGTGACATTGTTTCTGTGTGCATTGTTAATAATTGAAAATGCAATGGTTCTGACTCCAGCAATGGCTTTTTTCTTGATATTGATACAATGGAGGTGGCTGTATCAATAACAGAATTAAGTATTTCAGTGCACTTATAGTATGAGGTTTGTACTAGAGGTCTTAGTATTTTGTATAGGTGTTTGCAATAAAGTTCGTGGTGTAATTTCTCTACATCTATAAGGCTTAATCAGCTGAAAATGAAACCTGATCTAAACATCAGAATTCTACTTACTTTATCTAAGAAAACGTTTACCGAGCTACTCTGTTCTTGGTCAGACTGGTCTTTAGAAAAATCGGTGTTTGGATTCTAATCCTTGCATTTTGAAATGCAAAGAACACTGGTACTTTCAGAAGATTGTATGCCGAGTGCTTTGGAAAACAGAACAAGAATGCTGCTCAGGCATCTTGGCAGCAAGTCTTGTAACATCTATAACCAATGAAAACTAGAACATAATATACCCTACCATACTAAAAGGATGGAGAATTATGGATGGATTGGTGGTAGTTAATGAACTTACACTTAATTTTTTTTTTTTTTTTTTGCTTTTAGGCAAAGTTGGGTGAACAAGGAAATCTTTCAGAACTGGTTAATCTCATCTTATCTTTTGCTGATGGAAACAAAGACGGTAGAGTTTCTTTGCCAGAAGCAAAGTCTGCATGGGCACTTCTGCAGCTAGATGAGTTCCTGTTAATGGTGATCTTACAGGACAAAGAACATACTCCCAAGCTGATGGGTTTTTGTGGGGATCTTTATGTAATTGAAAGAGTTGAATATACCTCTCTCTATGGAATCAGTCTTCCATGGATTATAGAACTTTTCATTCCTTCTGGTTTCAGAAGAAGCATGGACCAGTGGTTTACTCCATCATGGCCAAGAAAGGCAAAAATAGCTATAGGGCTTTTAGAATTTGTGGAAGATGTTTTCCATGGACCTTACGGAAACTTCCTTATGTGTGATACAAGTGCCAAAAACTTGGGATACAATGATAAATATGATTTGAAAATGATGGACATGAGGAAAATTGTGCCAGAAATGAATTTGAAGGAAATGATTAAAGATCGTCCTTGTGAATCAGACATGGACTGTGTCTACGGTACAGACTGTAGAACTGTATGTGACCAAAGTAAAATGAGATGTACAACAGAAGTTATTCAGCCAAACTTGGCAAAAGTCTGTCAGCTACTTAAAGACTATCTGCTTCGTGGTGCTCCTTCGGATATCCATGAAGAACTAGAAAAACAACTGTATTTGTGTATTGCCCTTAAAGTCACAGCAAATCAGATGGAAATGGAGCATTCTTTAATACTCAATAACCTTAAAATGTTACTGTGGAAGAAAATTTCCCATACAAATGATTCTTAGCTTCTCCACCAGCAGAAATACTGATGCCTGCCATGAGAGGTGACCTACCATGTTTGATAAAAATGATGTGCAGCATTTTTTTTTTTTAAAGACCCTTCTTTACTCAGATTTCAGGAATGGCTGTTCTACTCTTGCCCTTTAGTCGGTACTTTATGACAGGGCTTCTCAAAGGATGAACGTACAACCGAGCGATCGGGCAGAGGCCAAAAGCACTTCTGGGGTTCCAGAGTGCTGTTATGGAAACAAAAACAACCCTGCATGCTTGATTGTTCTGTGCACATTGTCAGATCTTGAACAGGATGAAAGTACTCACTGTGCTACCACATCATCTAACGCAACATCATACAAATCTGTGAAAATCGTTGTTCACTTGTGAAATACCTGCAAAAGATTTTTATCCTGAATAGTTTTGAGGAACCACCACTACTGCAAATAATGTGACTGAGTCCAAGCTGCTGTTGTGTATTGAGCTGCAATTGAAGTTTACTAATACCTTCGCATAGCAGAATTTGCACATTAATAGATAATTTTTAAACTATGGAAAATTTTATTCTGGAACTGATAGGTTGTAATATGAGATTTAAATTAGTTTTTGTTTATACCTTGTTACCTCATACTTGCATCTTGAATGTTTTAGTTCAACACTTTAATTAAAAAGTCCAACCATGTTGGGAGCCAAGATTTTTAGGATGTTATTACTTAAAAGGATGTACCTACTTTAGCAGCAATATAAACATCGATTTTTGAAAGTGTAATTATTTTACTTTTATTAAACTGAAGTTAAGCTGTGGCAAACTTTGAAAAGCAAGGCTGTGGACTATGCCATTTTATAAGATAATTTTAATAAGTACTGATAGCAAAAATGTACTAACAGCTTAAAAAACAGGAAACCTGCATAGTAAGATGCTGCTTTGTGACAAATGAAACAAGTAACAGTTGTATATGAAGTCTTGAATCTTTACTGCCCACAAAAACTTAGCTATAGATTTGTGCTTAAATCCTTCCCACCTACTGCAGAAAGTACACAAAGAAGGCAAAGGTGGGTCATAACTGCAGGACAGAAGTTGAATTGTTCAGGATCATAGAACTTTTTTTTAAGTAAAGATTACATAGCAAAAAATTAGTAGACGAGTTAAATTTGCAGAAATTGAGGTAATAGATAGTAACAAGGTAGAACGGTATGCTGTAGAATGTTTTCTGTTTTTTCTAGTAGTATCTATCAGTCATAACTCTCTAGTCTTAAGTGACCACAATCTGATCCTGGCACTCTACCACCTTTAATCAGCATAACTGTTGTTCATTAGATTTTCATCTGTCCTCACAATTGTACAGAATGGGATGTGCATAAAACACCTTAATACTGTGCTTATCTGTTAATGTTTAATTTATTAATGCTTTAGGTATGAAGCAGTCAAAAGCCTTAGTGATTTTTAGTGGCAGTCATCTCTGTTCCTCAAGATAGCTGGCCCCTTAATTCAGTTTCAGCATAGGTTTCAGCATTATTTAATAAGTTGTTTATTTGTGTAAAGGTCCAGTATTAAATGCCTTTCTTGAATAAGTAAGCCTAACATAGGACTAAAATCAGATCACTTCTCCATACTGTATGTAATATTATGCAGCTTGGGCTAAGAATTGTGTTCTTTGTAAACACCAGCTTTTTCAGTTCAAAGAATGACTGTGCTAACTCTTGTCTCTTGATGTGATACTATCCTTCATCCTGGAGCTAAATTAAGTATTTGTAACCAGCACTGCACTCAAATGTAAAGCAGTCACATTTTTGGTGGAAAAAAAATAATTGAATTGCTACTAGGTTTGTGGGAAAAAAAAGTCTTGGAATCCAAAGTACAGTTGGGTATTTTAAACAGCTTTTTGGAAAAACTGGAAAATAGTAGTGCCATTTGTTGTATAGAGCCTTCATTTTTATTGGTGTTGCACCAAGTTTGAGCCTTCATTGAAAAAATACACTTTTAAAATAAGTAACAGGCCTCCTCTTTCTCTTTCAGTAGCTGTCACTGTCTTTAAGCAAAACTCAGCCACGTAGTCTACTTGACTCTTGTTTGTCATTAGACTTAGTGAAGTTGCTTGCACACTTGAAACAAGTAAGTATCTATGAACCTGAGATGAAGGATAAAATAAGGCAAGTCACAGCCTCTGTAATTAAGTATGCGTATGCAACTTAGAGAGTAAATTCCCTTGTCTGATCACTGAAGTGTGTGTAAAAGGTTTAACCTTAAGACAATACCTGCTCCAGCAGCAATAAGGACGTTTCACTTACTGGAGGAAGCTTAAATACCTCAAGATATGTTACTGTCAGCTTCACTAAGTCACAACAGGGTAAGTGTTGCTGTACATATTCCTGAAAGCTTAAGTCTACCTCAGATTTTTTCTTAAGATACATACTCCTCTCCCATAGCATTACATAATCTGAAAGAAAAGCTCTAAAGCAATAAATTTTTTTTGTAATTCTTTCTTTTTGAAATTAGAAAGAACAAAGTTCTTTTATGTATTTTTTTCTTATGAGTTACATTAATTTTTATCAATATTATTTTCCTTTGTTATGGGAATAATTCTAGTGGGGTAGCCTTGTCTTTCACACTTGCCTTTTCTGAAGGAGTTAATATAAAAATCCTTAAGGCTACACAATAGCTGAATTATACACATATTCCAATTTTTTAAGATAATTAATAAGTCAGTCTTACACAGTTGCTTACTCAATAAATTTATTGCCACTTCTTCCAAAGCTTCATAGAAAATTGTGGAAGTTGTCTTAACTATCAGCTGCACGCTCCTGAGCCCTGAGGAAGCTAGCCTTCTTCTGAGCAACACGGTCTTTCCTCTGGGCAAGGGACATCTTGGAACTGTTCACTCTGCAACAAAAACACAGGGTATGACATATCCAGAGCAGAAATGAGCAAAAGGGTGATCAAGAAAGCTGAAGCTGCGATTAAGAATTCTATGCTAGAACATATTGCCACTTCTGTAACACGCTCTATTTCTTAAGATATTGTTGCAGCACCACCAAAAGTATACTAAACAGTAAGTTAAAATGTGCTTAACCAAAAAGCACAGTTAAGCTCCTGTAAGGACTAGACAGGAAGAAAGCCACTGCAGTATCTGTGCTTTGTTTTTTCTCCCAAATTCCTGAAAAATACAAATAGTTTAGTACTGACAAATTAGTCAGCCTGCCCTCTCCTGAAGAGAAGTAGCCTTCCCTCTGAAAACACAAGGATGCTAAAATACACACTTAAGAAATGCCAGTTGTTCAGGCCACAGGTATAGTCTACTACTTGATTTTTTTTATTTTTATTTTTTTACAGTTAAGGGCTCTTGAATTTTTGATTCTGTTGAACGTAACTCCTGAAGTTACACATATCTTAATCTGATCTAAAACAGGGAACCTGCTTTGGCAGGGGGGTTGGACCTGATAACCTTTTGAGGTCCCTTCCAGCCCCTACAATTCTGTGTGATTCTTTGAAAACACAGTGATTCATAGGACACTTGTGTCAAAATCCGTGTCTGTTCCAACCTAACTAAAGTCTCTTTAACAGAAGTCATGTTCATGTTTACCTCTTTTTCTTGACTTCTCTCTTGGGTTTCTTTTCATGGACTGGATTATCCCGTATAGCAGCATGGGCTTTTTTGTACATTTCTTCCATCTTGGGGGGGAAAGAAAAAGTAGTTACTATTTTAGGATTGTATCAAGAAATAACATACCCTTAGCAGAGACAGCAATAGAAAAAGGTTTCATCACAATACAGCTTACAAGTTTGTGTGGTTCCCTTACAGTATTTTCTTCAGGCAGATCATCACTGTTACAACATACTGGAATCCTGGCCTATCGCTACACTATGATTTTGATTTAAATACCCAAAATGGCAGCTTGGACACAAAACCAAGGAAGTATTTTTACCCCTATTTTACAGATAGTTAATCTACATCCTTGACTCACTGCATACTACTTACAAATCTCATAACTACATGCTAGCAGAGAAGTGCTATTTCCTCTGAAGCCGACTTCCTAGGGGCTAATTTCCCTGTATTTAAATTAAAAGGCAGTACAGAAAGTTACTCTACTTCCACCTAGAGTAGAATAATTCTTACTTTCTTATACAGCTCATTGCTCTCAAGGCTTAGTTCTTACATCAAACCAAAATTACATAAACATCAGATGCACAACCTTACTAGACCCTACCCTGGTACACATTACAAAGCTGCTCAGTAAAAGAGAAGGGAAGAAGTTGAGACTTCTTAATTTGTAGCTGCTTGAAGAGTCCCTGCATCATCCCCAAGAATGTTGTCATGTAGCAGCAACAAATACCTTAGAAGAGGCTACGGCAAAGCAGTCATTTCTGAGAGCTCACATGGCATGAGAACATACAGAACTTTGGGTACCAGGTGATTGTGCATAAGTTATTATTCTTTGACGTATAAGACAGGAGCATGGAAGTGAGCTGTTCAGTTACACAGATCAGAAGACCCTAGCCTCTCTGTCCCAAAGACAGCTATGGCTCTATAAAGGCATTGATTTGCTGATGGTTAATTCCAACTAGACCCCAGCTGTGAAAAGATTATCTAGATAAACACTGTTTGCTTGGTAATGTAAATGCAGTTACATTTTAAGTAAAGATTACTAGCAGAAAATTAGCAGATTGGTTAAATTTGCAGAACAAAAAAAACAGAAGAACCTACAGTAATAAAGGTGTAAAGAATGAAGTTAGCTTTTCATAGTCTAGAAAAGGGACAGTAGAATGTTTGTTTCACTCGTCAAGAGTGCAATCAAAGGAAACCAAGATTATTACAGGCAGCAGACAAGCCATCCGAAAGACATTTAATAGTTGAAACGAGCAAAAGAAGCACTGTGGTAATTCCACAAATCATTCTGTGTTTTGTGCAATATATTCAAAAATGGAAAGTTGTACTGAAATAAGATGTACAACACTCAATATACTTCATCAGATGCTAGCTTCTGCAACAGAACTAGCTTGGGATTGTCTCTATTTGCCACAGGCCTACAGCTACCTATAATCACACGTCATAAAAAATGTGATATAGAGCACATCTTCAGTTACCCCAGCTGCATACCTTTTTCCTAAGATGCAGTCCTATAAGCTTATATTTTTAAACAGACTGCTAAGCTTCAAAGAACAAAAAATCACTTTCCTTTCAAAAGACCTACTATATACTACAGATCCCTTAATAAGGGGAAAATATGTGTTTTGTTTTTTTTACATGGAGAACATGCAACATAAACCACACTCCTATTTTACATTATCAAGATTTTTTGCATTACTGAGAAATCCCTACACAAGACTTATCACATCTCTACTAATGTGCAAGAGCCAAAAAGACAGATCTTACCCCATCAGGTGTTACATTGTTCTTTATGTATTGGGAGAATTGTTTTTTGTAAGCATCTTCATCTTCCTCCATCAGGTAACGCATATAATCTGCAACATTTTGGCCCATGATATGCTTGCGGTGAACCTCTGCATTGAATTCTTTGCTTTCTGAGTCATAACCAGGGAAACGCTTGGTACTGTGAAAGAGCAGTTACATTCAGAGTTAAGACATCCTGCCAAATGCTCTGATTCAGAGGCAAGCTTCCACAAAGAAGTAACTGTTGGACCAGATTCTGCTATAGATAACTGAGGGATAGGACCCTCTACTTAAAAATGGAAAGATAAAGAAAATGAAGAAACATAAGTTCATCTCAGCTGCCATCAGTCCCGTCTTGAAACAATCCAGTACATCATATACACACCGTGGACCAATTACAGAGTGCTCAGTCACAGGGGTATCATCATGTAGCAGCCGAGTTAGAAAAACTGAAGAATTAGTCAAGAATAACAGGACAGCATGAGAGGGAGTAGGAAATGCACAACAGATTTTTGAATTATTTTCCCCACTGCTGCTGTCAGAAAGTAGCAGTCAACTGTATTATTAGTGTTAAGTAACACTACCAAAAAACCTTGATTTTGTCACTCATAGCTTCTGACAGGAATTACCAAAACTCAATGTGGAAATTTTAAGTGCAGGTGGACCACTCAGACATACGACTGTCTTGACAACTGTGGGAAAAACCAATGATTGTTTTGCATCTGGTATGTACCACTGCAAAATTAATACCTACATATAACTTGCTTAAGACTTGAAAAAAATGCTAAAGAGTATTTATGGATGTGCATTCTGCATATATAGATGTACATATCATCCAGTACATACAGGTGTACTGGATGATTTCAAGTAAAAGCAAGGTGGCTCTTTAGGTCCTGATTTATAGATTAATTTATATAATTTAACAGAATCTCTTGATAAGTCAGAAGATTCATGCAAGCTCTATCAGAATTGCACCAATAGATTAAAATACAACCAACCAAATAAAAAAGAACTACCCGAGAACCTGCGCTAAAATAATAGTTACCAGGTTATAACAAAACCATTTCAGCACAAAAATGACAATATATTTAGACTGTCCTACACAGAAATATCTCAGGTAATTCTAAAGGGATTTTTTCAGACAGACTAGATTACCTATGAGGGATGGAGAGACCACCATCCACTGCACCCTTCAGAGCACCAAAAACTTTGTTTCCAGTAGTAGTTCTGGCAAGACCTGCATCAAGGTAGCATGTGAAAGCACCAGGCTTTCCATCCACACTTTCCACATTGTATTCATCACCAGTCACTTCAACTTGGCCTTCATAGATCTTATCAAGGCCAAATTTATTCAGAAGCTGTGGGAAAGGGAAAAAAAGAAAAAAGCACATCTGAAAGTCTGACCATTTACTGACAAAATTAAGAATCACCATCAGTTTAAAACACAAATTTGTAGTAGAATCTCCATGCTTTCAACCAATTTCTTTATCAAAATTATGTACTCCATACTAGTAACAAAGCTTATAATAGCCGCCACAGTAAGCATGCCTGTTACATTTCAACTTCTTGTTCCAACCGATATGCCAGGGAACTCGAAACTT